TTGGAACATACACTAGTAGACTTATGATTTTGGATTCGTTTACATGATTTTGATTTGTACTCACTTGCTTCCGTTTAATTATGTTACGTTTGTAAATTTCTAAATCTTTTAACAAGTGAGGACATGTTATCTACTTAGTAATTTATTTAAACAGAAAACCATTAGTTTCATCAGTGTTGGCTTGCCCAATAACGGTGTTGGGCGCCATCACGACCTATAATAAAAAACAAGTCGTGACAACTGAGAACCATGAAGTGAGTGGCACCTCGTGGATTGGGCCTATTCGATCAGGTTGGGATCTAACCCATGCCGATCACACGGTGATTGAGACAGAATTAAGTCATGATAGTTGGAACTCTCGAAGTATAAAGTGAAGTATTTTTTTATAAGGAAAAAAAAAAGAATTTCTGTAGAATATTCATAAACTACTGTTATGCAATTATTTTAGAATTGTTCTTAGAAACTTTATGTTTTCCATGCATTTAGAATCTTTGCTCGTAATTTATATTTTATTAAAGTCTCGTCCCTTGTCGTTGAAACTCACTGAGTACAATGGATGGTACTGACGTTCTCTTTTGGGAACCTATGTTGGTCTATGGTACAACGTAGGAACCGATTTCGCAGGCGAGCCAGCTACAGGTTAGGACTTATCTCTCTTCAGTGTTACTGGTGAGCTCAGCTTTTGTTCGTGGAATATTCCTTTGAGTCATCTTTATTTAGTTATTTCTTTGTTTACTTAGAGAACCAGCCATGCAAACTTATGTCCTGAGCAGTGCATCAGTTTATCAGTAGAGGCTTCATAGACACAGTCGATGGGTTAAGATTCAGATGTTTTTGGTAATAACTTAGCAGTATTTCAGATGTTACTACGATAAAGTTTTGGAGTTGTTTTATTTTAGATATTTAATTTAATTGAAAGTATTTAGTTAAAGCATTGCCTTGTTGCATAAAAAGTTTGAAGTTATAATAGATTTGATAAGCGCAGATGGTTCGCTTGGTCAAGTTTAGTGACTGGGTGTCGGTCACAACTTGTTCAGAAAATGGGTCGTGACAATACATTCATGCATTGAGTTAATTTTACTGGACATTCTCTATTAGATTAGTTAGTGTTTGATGGGAGTATTTGAGAAGAGGTTGTTTTGTCTCTCATTGGAAAAAGAAAGAAAGGAAGAGGTGTTTAAAAGCACTTCTTTGTCTTATATAGTTTGAATATTTGAGGGTGTTTTGGAGGAAAATTGGAATTTGACTATATTATTAATAGTCAAGATTGGGCACTTGGGGAAATTGGGCTTTGGGCCAATTAAGTAGCCCGAATTAATATTTTAGTCACCCATTATTTGATTAATTAAAAACGTTTTAAACTTTTAATTTCAGAAAAATATTTTAATATTTTTTTTAAAATTCAAAAGAAGGTGACTATTGGTTTTAAAAGGTGCTTGTTATGAAGAGATTAGTTTGTTAATTCCAACAGACTCTTAGAGGTATTATAAATGCCTATTTCATCTCCAAAACGAAATCATCTGAAACTTTCATCTCTTTCTCTTCTACTGATTTTCTATAATTCACAGCTATTTTGTTCTTGTGAAAAATTCGAGTTAATTGCGAAAACTCGGATTTCAGAGGCTTTGTATAATTCTGGAGAAATTCTGCCATAATCCCTGCAGCAACGAAATTGGGAGGCTTAAATTGTTTAACCTAGTTCTTCTTCTAACAATAAAAGAAAGGCAATTGAATCTCCTGTAGAACTAAGAAAAAGTCAAAGAGTTAGAAAAAAATGTAGGTTCTGATTTTATTTCTTCTCAAGCACTAGTCTTTTTGGTAGAAGGAAGTAGAGATGAAGTATTAAATAAACTACCCATTATTTTAAATTTAGAAGAGGATCCTAAAACCTATAGTGAGGCTATAGCTTCGCAGGATTCTTCTTTCTGGAAAGAAGCTGTAAATGATGAAATGAATTCTCTTTTATCAAATGGTACATGGGTATTAGCAGATTTACCTTCTAATACTAAACCTATTGGGTGTAAATGAGTTTTTAGAAGAAAATACAATACTGATGGTTCTCTACAAACATTTAAAGCTAGACTAGTAGCCAAGGGATTTAGACAAAAGGCAGGAGTAGATTATTTTGACACATATGCTCCTGTGGTCAGGATTACCTAAATAAGAGTATTATTTGCTTTGGCATCAATATATAATCTAAATGTCCATCAAATGGATGTTAAGACGGCATTCTTAAATGGTGATCTTGATGAAGAAGTTTATATGGAGCAGCCCGAAGGGTTTGTGCTTCCTGGAAATGAGAAGAAAGTTTGTAAATTAGTTAAGTCCTTGTATGGATTAAAACAAGCTCCAAAATAATGGTATGAAAAATTTGATAGTGTTATATATCAAATGGTTTTAAACATAACGGAGCAGATAAATGCATTTATTCCAAATACACAAAAGACTTTGGAGTGATAGTATGTCTTTATGTTGATGACATGCTAATCATAGGAACTAACATGCAAGGCATAAATGAAACTAAGAAGTATTTAACTTCTCAATTTAAAATGAAAAATTTGGGAAGTTCATACTATTTTAGGTGTTAAAGTCAAAAGACATAGTGGGGGTTTTGCCTTATGTCAGTCTCACTATATTGAAAAGGTTCTTTCCAAATTTAATCATTTGGGTATTAAAGAATTTAATACTCCATTTGATGCTTCTAGCAAGATGGTTGAGAACCCCGGAAGATCTGTTAGTCAATTAGACTATGCTAGTGCAATTGGTAGTTTAATGTATGCTATGCACTGTACTAGGCCAGATATTGCTTTTGCGGTTTGTAAATTGTCAAGATATACTCACAATCCAAGTGGTGATCACTGGAAAGGTATAGTGAGGGTACTTAGTTATCTAAAAAGGACAAAAAAATTTGCCTTGTATTATAATATATTTTCTTCAGTGTTAGAAGGATATTGTGATGCTAGTTGGATAACTAGTGTTGGTGATAAAAAGTCAACGTCTGGGTTGATATTCACTTTAGGTGGAGGAGCAATTTCATGGGCTTCTAAGAAACAGACGTGTATTACTCATTCCACAATGGAATCTGAGTTTATTGCTTTAGCAGTTGTAGGAAGAGAGGCAGAATGGCTAAGAAATCTATTGTTAGATATAAAGTTGTGGCCACAACCAATACCAGTTGTTCTCTTGCACTGTGATATTGAAGCAACTATGTCTAAGGCATTTAGCAAAATATACAATGGAAAATCTAGACATATTGCTTTAAGACATAAGTACATAAGGCAATTAATTTCGGATGGAATTATTACTGTTGTGTACATCAAGTCTAAAGACAACCTTGCTGAACCATTCACTAAAGGACTCGCAAGGGATATGATAATGAGCACAACAAGTGCTATGGTTCTAAGGTAATTTAAATTTGTCACTAGTAACGGGAGCCTTAACTTTCTTACTGTTTAACAATATTAAAGGTTTAAAAGGTAATAACAAGTTATAGTTGTGATGGATTGCAGGTACTGGAAATTAGTACCTACAAAAGAAGGATGAGTATAAAAATACTCTTAATGAAGAAGCAAAATTCGATTTAGGAACTAAAGAAGTCCTTGGTTAAATCTTCATCTATGTAAACACAAGAAGTGGTGCTTCAATCAAAGTTTGAAACACAAAACTTGATAAGTGTTTATGAATTCAGGAAGTAGCACAAAGCCATAATTGGGTGCTAAAACTCACGGTGAACAAGTTGTCGAGTTGCTACGATTTATGTGTATAAAGCTTTTCCGTCTTGTAGTCTAGGAATTGTGATTTAATAGAACTTACCCTAACTATTAATTTTGGCAAGGTCTTGAATAGTTTATACAAGTAGTAGGTTTAAATCGAAAGGTACCTACTATATGCATGAATCTCATAAATAACATCAATCACTAACTAAGTGGGGCATTGTTAGATTAGTTAGTGTTTGATGGGAGTATTTAAGAAGAGGTTGTTTTGTCCCTCATTAGAAAAAGAAAGAAAGGAAGAGATGTTTAAAAGCACTTTTTTGTCCTATATAGTTTGAATATTTTAAGGGTGTTTTCGAGGAAAATTAGAATTTGACTATATTATTAATAGTCAAGATTGAGCACTTGGAGAAATTGGGCTTTGGGCCAATTAAGTAGCATGAATTAATATTTTAGTCACACATTATTTGATTAACTAAAAACGTTTTAGCCTTTTAATTTCAGAAAAATATTTTAATATTTTTTTTAAAATTCAAAAGAAGGTGACCATTGGTTTTAAAAGGTGCGTGTTATGAAGAGATGAGTCTGTTAATTTCAACAGACTCCTATAGATATTATAAATATCTATTTCATCTCCAAAACGAAATCATCTGCAACTTTCATCTCCTTCTTTTCTACTTATTTTCTACAACTCACAACTATTTTATTCTTGTGGAAAATTCGAGTTAATTGCTGAAACTCGGATTTCAGAAACTTTGTAGAATCCTGGAGGAATTTTGCCATAATCCCTGCATCGACAAAATTGGGAGGCTTAAATTTCTTAAGGCCTAATTATTTCGTCCCATATTCTGTTATTTCTCTAACATTCTCTACTCTAGCTCCGATTAATTAAATACCTTTTTTTGTAATTAAAAAGAAAAGAGAAGAACCAGTATTATGGTTGACGCTTGAAAGAATGGACGGAGAAAAGACTAGTATTAGGGTTGACCTTTTAAAGAAGGCAACATGTTAAATAGATTTAATTACTTCAGTCGGTTTCCCATGACAACTCATTGCCAACAAAACTATTTTTAAAAAAGAACTCTTTGGCCGCCGATAGAAATTGTGATGGTGTGATAAGTATTTCTTCGTTTTAACGTGGTTGATTTGGGATCATTAAGTCCATAAGTATAAAATCGTCTTTATTAAAGAGCGTTTTACCCCACTTTCCGATGCTAATCTAAATTCAATCAGACCCCAATATAAATACTAAATAACATAGAAACTGAGATAATATGTTAACTATTTCTCAAGCAATAATTCATGATGACCATTTCTAAGCCAACTAGGAATTATAAAACACAAACATGAATAGCATCTTTTACAACTTCTCCAATGGCCTTCAACTCAATCTTCTTTCATGGCTTCATCTTCATCTTCGTAACATTTATCTTAACCATCAGCCAAATTGACTGCGTTGACAACAATACTACAAGACAAGATAAAACTGCCCTCTTTGTGTTTGGCGATTCAACAGTGGATCCTGGGAATAATAACTACATCAACACTACTCTTGACTTCCAATCAAATTGGTGGCCTTATGGTGAATCATATTTCAAGTACCCTACTGGTAGACCTTGTGATGGTCGTCTCATCTCTGATTTTATAGGTACCATATCATGATTTTCACCAACTAGATACTATCTTATACTTTAATTTGTAGGTACGATATCATGATCTAATCCGTCTTTCTGAGCCGATCGAGGTCTATCGGAAACAGCCTATTTGCCCTATCGGGGTACGGGTAAGGTCTGTGTACACATTACCTTCCCCAGACCCCATTTTGTATGATTTTACTGGGTAGTTATTGTTGTTATTGATATCATGATCTAACTGTACGACTTACAACATCAACAACATACCCAGTATTATCTTACATCGTAGGATCTAAGAAGGGTAGTGTGTGCGCAGACCTTACCCCTGCCTTGTGACGATGGAGAGGTTGTTTACGACTTAATTTGGTCAATTGTTGTTTGCAGCGGAATATGCTAAGTTGCCACTCATACCATCTTATTTTGAAATTGAGAGGAAAGGATTTGTTCATGGAGTGAACTTTGCTTCAAGCATATGTGGATGTTTAGTTGAAACCAACCAAGGTCTTGTAAGTAATCTTCTTTACAGCAGATTTTTATTTTTCTTAAACTCTGATAATTAGGTTTAGCTTTTGTCTGATCAGAGAAAGATATCATTTTTCTTAAATAACTACTACTCTACAATTTAGTATCGACTACTTACGACGACTTGAATTATATGAAACATCCCTACACAATACAATTTAACAAAACATGGATAAAACAAGTTTTCATCTTCCAAAATTGAGTAAATTTTACGGATGGTCATCCAATTATTACCTAAAAAATTACTATTCTTTCTTTTGTTACATAAAAAGTCACTTATTTTAAAAATAAGTTTGACCTATTTTTTATTAAAAAATCCACCTAAAATGTGTTGAGAAAATGAAAAGATGATTCTTATATTAGGGAGTAGGTTAAAAATGGGCCCTTAAATATATTTCTTAATATTTTGATCCTCTAACATTGTCAAAAGTGAGCGTTTTTATTTTTGTTGAATATTTAACAAACTATATATGCTTATTATATATGATGAAAACTAAAAATATTTAACTAGAAATATCAATAACTTAAGTCATTACTAAAAATTGTTAGTAAATTATATTTGTAAAATAATTCTGGAGAAAATAAAATAACAGAAATATAAACGAAACAAAAGTTAATCCGAGCCTACTGAATTCATAGTGTTTCCTTAAGGAATTTAATCCCCTCATAGTACCCGAGGATATAGATTATTTCCTCCCAGGCTAGAACGAATTACACACTGGTGTGGTGGTACTTCAAACCCCAATATTTCAGCGAACACAAAGTTCGGTAGCAAATCACACTTACTGTTGCTTTTTTTTAAGTTAAAACAACGCAGAAGAAGGAGGAGAAACTCAGAAAGTCGTATGAAAATTCTGTTAGAATAGACTTGTATTTATAGCCAAAGTTGGGCTGAAATCTGAAGAGGTGCAACTCTTTAGAGTGGTTGTTTATGCAAAACGGCCACAGCATAAGTGTCATAACATAAATGGTTATTTACTCAACAATAAAGAAGGAAAATTGAAGAGGGTAGTTAATTTTCTGTTACAAAAACAGAGAACGAAAAATTGGAAACGGTTGGATTTTAATATTAATATTCTTGGATTTAATTGTCCAAAAAATTAATCAATTAATCGTTTGATCGAAGCCGAGCGAGCGACAACGACGCGAGGCTTGCCTTCTTCTCAACTCTTTAAAAGCTAGAAGAAGAGCAATTGCTTATAGACCCATTAAAAACTTATTCCTCTTCCAATATGGGACAATGTCCCTTTGCCAAGGGGGAACTTATAATTTCACTCAAAAAATTTCATTTCCCTCCATTTCCCATTCACCTTCATTAATGCTTAAAACCCCAACAAAAACAAATTATTAGTGTGAAACAAGTTTTAAAAACAAAAAAAAATGAAGGAAAAAAAATGAAAAAACCACAACGACATATTTTAGCTTTTTATCCTCCTCTTACAATATAAGCAGATCACGCTCCTTCTACACTAAATTAAACAGTTAGTATTTGATCCTTTAAAAAATGAAAAAATAATAATAATTTATTCGAAAGTCGAACCACTGAATAAGCGCAAATTAATCAATTATCACACTCGACTTTAATATCACTAACCTACATTTACCTTGAAAATGAGTTAACTCTGATGATATATGAATTTCACATTTTCAGGCCACATGATTGATTATAAAAATTAAAATTCAGTTATCCGATACGTAATTGCAAGTTAGACTAAATAATTTCATGGAATGGACTTGTCAAATGCAAAAGTCATAAAATCAAAATATCACAAGACACAAGAAATAGATTTTAAAATAGCAGAGATTGCACCTCAAAAAGCTACATCAGATCTTGCAATAAGCCAAACAAAAAATACACTTCTTATTGTGATTATATATTTCAATCTCTCTCTTTTTTTTCACAGTTTCCATTAGAATAACAATATAATTATTGTTTGTTAAATACCTGACGAACGCTAAAAGTACCCAATTATACTTTGTTATATTTAAGCCCCCCCTTTTGAACTTACCCCCTAATGTAAGGGCCATTTTTGTCATATTCTCTCACATTTCAGGTTGGGTTTTTTAAAAATAAATAAAAACTAGTCAAAGTTATTTTTGTGACAAGTGGAGCAAAGTAAAATGATTTTTATTTAACAAAAAAAGGAATGACAATTTTGGTTAATGAACACATAGCTGAATGACTATCAGTTGCAGATCCAGTATAGCCAATGAGTTCAATTGAAGCCCTGTATATGTATAAAGAAATTTACTGAATAGATATATTAGCTCAGGATCTCAACTTCCCAACTAAAATCGTCCTAATTTCGTGTTTTCTTGTAGTGTATAGATCTTAAAACGCAGTTGAGATATTTCAAGAAGGTGGTGAAAAAGTTGAAGAAGAAGCTGGGGGCAAAACAGTCCAAAAAACTCATCTCAAATGCTGTATACATGATTAGCATAGGATCAATTGATTATGGTCAACCTTTCCGCAAGAGTCCTAATCAATTTCCATATCCTAAGCAAGAATTTGCAAATATGGTACTGGGAAATTTAACATCCGTTTTAAAGGTAATGAAATTCTTAATTTCACCAGAAATTATCTCAACGAATTTGGATACCTTTTACTATTTTAACTACTTATTTCTTGATATTTCGGAAAGACAATTTACATAATATCATCTGTCTTACTTAGTGGTCGTTTGGACATAAGAATGGTAAAATTCCAAAAAAAAAAAAAAGTTAAATTTTTTTTTAAGTAAAAATGGTATTTGAAAATTAGTTATGTATTTGGACATGAATATAATTTTGGGTTATTTTTGAATTCTTGTGAGTGGTCTGCGTGAAAATTTTGAAAAATAACTTTTTGGAATTTTTTAAATTTTCGAAAAATTCCAAAATTCATATTCAAGTGAAAATTAAAAATATTATGGCCAAACACTAACTTCGAAAAAAAAGTGAAATATTTTTGAAAAAAAGTAAAAAATTCTTATGTCCAAACGGGCTCTTAGAGTCAGAGCCGGACCTATGTTTGGAGTAGAGTATAACTAACCCTGTTAACTGCAACAAAAATTCTAAATATATACATGTATATAAGTTAAAAATCTTGAGATCAAAGCTCGATGGGGGCATTGGTTGAACAATCCACTCATGTGCCCACAACCTTCAAATCATGTGACCGCTTCTGCTTAGAGTGGGTGTGAAACTGAGTTTTAGATAATTTACACAATATCTTTCATTTTACTTAGAGTTGTATCCATTTTACTCCCAAGAATCATTTACACTAATATCTCATTTTATCTTTTTAAAATTACTGCGACAGGAAGTTTACAAGAGAGGAGGGAGAAAATTTGCCATATTTACGTCGGTTCCCTTAGGCTGTTTTCCAAGTGCTAGGGCTTTTGTCCTTCAGCAAAATAAGACAGATGACTGCTTTGAAGAACTGAATGTGCTGCTGAAATTGCACAATTCAATTCTTCCGACAAGACTCAAGCAATTACAAAAGGAACTAAAAGGATTTACGTATACATTGTTTGATCTCTATAAAGTAGTTGATCAAAGGATTAACAACCCTTCTAAATATGGTAAGTTCTATTTTTCACTTACAAGAAAACTCGAACTGATTTACATAATTATCATTATTTAATATGAGGGCAGCCCGATGTGCTAAACTCCCGCAATGCGCTGGATCCGAAAAAGGGCGAGACCACAAGGGTCTATTGTTTGCACGACGCAGCCTTACCCTGCACTTCTGTAAGAGGCTATTTTCACTGCTCGAACCCGTGACCTCCTGGTCACATGGCAGCAATTATCAGTCAAAATAGCACGGGCTAGCCAGTTTTCGGACTGGTCATTCAAAAATAGCCAGCGTTTGCCAAGTCATTGAAAAATAGCTACTATTTTGCTGCAACAGAAACCGGTCCAGTATAATATACTAGAGTTCCAGTTTACTTTGTTGGAAGTCCAGTATAATATACTGGAGTTCCAGCAAAGTATACTAGAACTCCAGTGTATTATGCTGGAGTATTTTTCGGATTTTGAACAGTGTTTTCATTCAGATTTCTCTTTACATGAAAAGTGGCTAAATTTCGATGACTTTTGAAACTGTGGCTATTTTTGAATAACCGCTTGTAAATCTGGCTATTTTTGAATTTCTTATTCAATATGAACTATTTTAATTAGGATCTTTACACAAATAGCCAGTCGGATTCCTGTTTATTTTTTCTAGTCAATATACATAAATTATACACATATTATACAAGGATTATACATCTATTATGCATTCATCGACTATTTTTTTGTTTAAACGGTTGGGTTAGCGGCTATTTGTATTAATTCTTCCTTTCATATCTTTGTAGGTTTTGAAGAATCAAAGATGGCATGTTGTGGTACAGGACCCTTTCGAGGAATTAACAGTTGTGGGGGAAGAAGGAAAGTGAAAGACTACCAACTCTGCCAAAACCCTAAGGATTATGTATTTTTTGATTCTAGTCATCCTTCAGAATCTACCTACAAACAGTCTGCTGAACTATTATGGCATGGATCTCCTGATGTCACTGCACCTCATAGCTTAAAATCTTTTTTCCAACTTTCTGGCTAGCTCGATCGAAGCTAGAAATAACTTCCTCTTCTCACGTTGTATGTGTACATCCTTTTTCTTTAATTCATCACAAAATAACACTACTCCATTTGGTCTAAATAAAATAAAATGGGGACTACTCTTATCATAGTACCAAAAAATCACATAAAGTCGCTGTTACGACATTCTTAATTACAATTTCCCCCTCTTTTACATGTTAGTATGGTTGGTACCCATTGTATTGTATTGTATTTTATTAATTACATGTTACCCATCCATTCTTTATAGCTTTTTCCAATGCTTTACGAATTGCTAGTGCTTTAGCGATGGTGACCTTCCGAACAAATTGAATGGGGTGCCAAAGGCTTGAAGCAGATGACCGTAGCTATCTATATATGTTGCCACTCCAATGTAGGGTTGTTCATTTGGATCGGATATCGGAAATCCGAATCGATCCGCTCAGTTTCGGATTTCAGATATTTGGATCGAATTTCGGATTGTGTTTATTAAAATTTCGGATATTCGGATCGGATTCAGATTGGTATAATTGTAACCCGATCCGATCCGAAATCCGAAATTATTAAGGCATGTATAAATATTAAACTTTAATTTCGGAGAGTCAGCACTTCCTTTACATCTTCCTCCAAGTTATTACCTTTACAATTACTGGATTTAGCTATATTGGCACCATAATACTCTCATAATTGTAAAAACATGAATTTTTCTTACAATATTGCCTCTTTTACAAAGTAAATATACATATGAGTTTGCAACTTTGAGGCATAATAATCCGATCCGAAATCCGAAAATTATCCGATCCAAACTTTAAAATTCGATTCGATCCGATATTAATTTGGATCGAATTCGGATTACATTTTTTAGAATTCGAAATCCGAATTCCGAATCCGAAATACTAAATTCAATCTGATCCGATCTGATCCATGCACAACCCTACTCCAATGCTTGCAATCTTCTTTTCCCATTATAACCCACCATCCAGCAAAATTTTTTATAGTATTTTTTAAGTTAGACCAATTTATAGGACTAATGTTTCAAACCAATTTATTTTTATGGTATCTGTTGGTGAAATTACAAATAATTACAGTTGACAAATAAGATGAAGAAAATTAACTAAATATTCTTCAGGTTGAGGTGTCGATATCTCGCTCTCTTTAAGGAGATTCAAGCCCACTGCGGTAGCATCTTCATCGGTCCAGCAATAATACTTTTGACTTGTCCCCTCCAGGATACACTAGCCCGACAATGTCGTATGACTCGAACAAACTCTGAACAAGTTGTTGAGTCCAAAGCTCCACCAAAATGAACATCTTCCTTCCACAAAAATAATTTTCTCTTATGTAGAGAATAAGTTGGAGACTTAGATTTTTTTCCTTCTCTTAACTTTCTTTTTCAAAATACCAACCATATCTTTTTTATGTACAACATAATATTTTCCTATCTACAACACAAGGAAGAAATGCCACTATTTATAGGTATAGAATCTCTTTCATGAAACAAATAATAAGATAGTGGGATAATAAAATTGTAGAATATGGTTGGTGGTTACAAAATTTAATTTTTAGTGGGTAATTAGTGGTAGTGGTATTAGTGGTTTCATGAGTTACACCAAAATAATGATCATTTTCTTGCCAATTTATAATCATTATCTCACAAGAAATGCACTTTAATATTATAATATCTATATCTATATTATATTAAAAGGAGAGTAGTATGCATTGTGGTTAAGCCAAGTGGCAAGTTAAAATGAAGCCACTTAGCAATTTTAAGACAACATTAATTAATAAAAATTATAAATAAAAATATAATTAAGGGAAGTAGTTTAATGAATTTTATAATAATTTAAATATATCTTAGATAAATCTAATCTATCTCTCTCTCTCTCTCTCTCTCTCTCTCTCTCTCTCTATATATATATATATATATAT